TTTGATCCATCTTTAACATTTCAGAATACTATTAATAACTGATGTTTTGGAGAAAAAAAGAATGACAGAAAGCTTATCTACCCCATATATCTCACCAACGCATTGGTAATTAAGGGACAGAACCTCTTGACTGACTAGGTAGCTTTGATTCTGTTTTATCGGAGAGGAAGGCTCTCAGACAAATTGCTGCTTTGTAACTGATTCTTTCTTTGACAACATAAGAACCTAGTGCTACGCTTTGCTTCCTGTCTCCTGCTTGAAAAAGAGTATGATCCTCAGTAGATAAACTGAAAGAGGAGCCAAAAAAATAAAGACAGTGAGATTTTAGGAGGTCAGTTGGCTGCAAACCTTAACAATTCATTATATGAAGTTTTTATTTGAGCTTAAAACCCCTGCATTCCTTTCAGCCCCAGCTTTCTCCTTTCTTAACTCTCCCTTTCTTTTTGCCAAGGCTGTCCATTTCTTAGTGGTCTAAATACCCTGGGCGCTGGGGACACTGAAAGCCCAGCTTCACTGCTACATAGCACATCCATGTAACAAAACTGCATTGTACTCCCAAATCTATTTAAATAAAATTAATTAATTAATTAATTTAATGTTAAAATGGCGTAGTTTTCAGCAATTCTACTATCTACTTGTGTAGGTGTTTCTCTGCAGAGAAAGGACACAAAGGAACAAGGGAGGGAGACCATAAAACCCTTTTTCTTACCCAACATTCTGAATTTTATCATTAATGGAATTTTTGTAACAGGAGATCCAGTTGTTGTGGCCCTTAGCCTTCCAACATCACCAGAGACCTGTCCAATTTAGCATTTGGAAGCGTATTGACTAAGGACTCTGGGGTTTGTTAAAAGACTGAATTTTAACACCAAAAAGCCATCATTCATTCAGTCTGCAAATGTGTTTTGAAACCTTACTATGTTCCAGATGTTGAATATGTGATGGTAAACAAAACAGATATGGTACACCTCCTTAAAAGCTTATAATTTGGCTGGGCGCAGTGGCTCACAACTCACAACTGTAATCCTTGCACTTTGAGAGGCCAAGGCAAGAGGATTACTTGAGCCCAGGAGTTCGAAGTTGCAGTGAACTGTAATCATGCCACTGTACTCCAGCCTGGCAATAGAGCAGGACCCTCTCTTAAAAAAAAAAAAAAAAAAAAACTTAGAACACAGGGGCCTGGCTTTGTCAAGATTGATGATGGTAAGAGGGCCGGGCGTGGTGGCTCACGCCTGTAATCCTAGCACTCTGGGAGGCTGTGGCAGGAGAATTGCTTGAGCTCAGCAGTTCCAGACCAGCCTGAGCAAGAACGAGACCTCGTCTCTACTAAAAATAGAAAGAAATTAGCCAAAACAGCTAAAAATAGAAAAATTTAGCCGGGCATGGTGGCACGTGCCTGTAGTCCCAGCTACTCAGAAGGCTGAGGCAGGAAGATTGCTTGAGCCCAGGAGTTTGAGGTTGTTGTGAGCTAAGTGGATGCCATGGCACTCTAGCCTGAGCAACAGAGTGAGACCCTGTCTCAAAAAAAAAATAAAAAAAATATTGATGGTAAGAGAATTTCCCTGTAGAAGCAATAATTGAGCCAAGTTCCAAAAGTCGAGTAGAAATAACTAATATAAGCAGAAGGGGAAAGATTATTCTGGGGAAAAGAAACAACGTATGAAAGGGGTCTAAGAATGAGAAGGCATTGTGGTGGAAATAAAACAAAGGGAAGAAGATAGGTTGTAGAAGTAGGCAGGGACCAGGTTATCATGACAGATCTTAGAGCAAATCTCGTCAAACTACGAATAGATTTACCCAGTGGTAATAGGGAGTTAACTAGGCAGGCAAAGTTCTAAAAAGTGTACAGATGCCTAGATCAGTTTTTTAATATGTATATGAGAAAGAAACAGACACTGACAGAAGCTGGACTTTTTGTTTTCCAGCTAAGATGTTAGAACCGGCTTCTCCAGAGGAAATGAAGATTGAGGCAGAGAAGGAGGAAGTGCAGGTTCAAATCTAAATTTGCAGAATCTAGTAATTCAGAAATTATTAAGATAGCAGGGATCAAGGGCCTCAGAAGGCTTGCACAGCAGTAATGCGATAGAAAAGTAGTAAATCCAAGATTGTTTTTCCAGTTCCTGTATTTATAGTCTTATTTCTACTTGTGTACTATTTGAGAAAGCAAATTTAAGAGTTTTAGGAAGCATGTTCATTTAGCAAGAGTGCCGAGGACAGAATGTTTGCAGTTTGCTCCCAGGAGCCAAGGATTTTGTTGTTGTTGGGCTTTGTTTGGTGTTTTTTCAATTGGTAAATTTGAGTCTCTTATTCATTCTTTTTTGAATTTGAAAGTTGCCATATTTAACAAATTACTAGACTCCAAGCCAGCTGTGGCCATTTTTAAAGCACATTACTTTAAAACATCACAAATAGATATTCTTTATAATAATATTTCTTTAGTGTAGCAAGATAAAGATAGCCTGAGAGTATACCAAAGAAGTCAAATCATCTTGCAGCCTTTTCCTACTAGGATTTTTTATCTGAACCACAAAACACAGAAAATTATTTTTGTAACTGTTTTCTCAATTGCCCCAGGATGGCACTAGAATAGGTAATTCTATTCTAGATGCATGCAAAAGAAGGCTTATCCATTGGATGCCTTAAAGGATTAAGGCTTAATTCTCTCCCTGAACCCCAGTCAAGAAAGTTTCTAAGGTATACAAAGAGCATTTACTTGTATGTTTATTCTGCATTAAAGTACTTTTACTATAATGACATAAATTCTTAGAAATATACTAAAGACATTTCCAAATGAGATCCTGAAAAATCATTATTTATATTGTCTTCCTGAAAAAAATATACATCATTCATTAATACTGCAACTAAAGTGTTAAAGGAATTCCTGTATATAATTTTCTTTGACTTTACAAAAACCTTTGAAAGACCGTTTTAAATTTAGCATATAAATCAAAAGTGAGTTGAGTAAAAACCTAACTCAGTTACTAAGTGCACGAATGCTTTCCTTGGATTGTGGTAACAAATATAATAGTAGATAAAGAGAGCAGTTTTATTTTAAATAGTATACTTTTTTTCCTACTGGCATTTTTAAGGTGTTGGGGAAAGTGTTGCAAAAAGTTGTAGTTCATCGTAATTCTAGTTTCACTAAATTTATATAATATTAATAATATAGGATAAATTTTCATTTGTGATGAAGACAAATTGTAAACTTGATTTCTTCCATAGATTTCTCATCCAAACATTTCTATGCCTCAGACAACACAATGAATAATTCCTTTTGTGTATATCATTGATCAGTATAGCACCTAAAATAACAAAAAAGAAAAAGATACTGTGTTTATTTTATTCCTTAGATCAGTACAATGGAACATGAATTTTCAATAAAGGAACATGGGTATGAAGTTCAGTTGAGAGAGATGGAAGACAGTAATAGAAATTCCACTATTGAACTGCGGCATCTCTTAGCGACTCAACAGAAGGCAGCGAATAGGTGGAAAGAAGAAACAAAGAAACTTACTGAAAGTGCAGAAATTAGAATCAGTAATCTAAAGTAAGTCCACTATTGTTTGACATGTTTTACAGAAGAAATGATTTAAACTATAGTTTATATCCTTGCCATAATCTTTTTATAAAAATATATAATTCTGGGTCTTATATTTTTATTCAGCAAATATTTATTGAACTATTATAAAATTATTAAGCATTATGAACCAAAACAGATACTGTATATTTTTGTAAATTTTATACATATTCCATAAAATAAAATAATTTTTATTTAGAAGCTTAGTACTATTTGCATAGTGGTAAACCATATATTATGTTCTACAGTTGCAATAGCATTTGTTTGTCTGGCAAAGCCTGAAATATTTGTTCTCTGGCCCTTTAAGAAAAACATTGCTGACCCTTCCTTAGAAAGAACTTGAGATTTTGTACTGAATGAGATGGAAAGCTCAAGAGCTTCAAGATGGTAATCACATTGGAGGGGTTTGAGCAAAGTGATGTGATCAGACTTAAATGTTCAACAGATGACTTTGCCATATGAAGAATAGACTATATTTTAGTAAACCTAAAAATGCTCTTTAAAAAATCTATTTTAAAAAAAAAGTATAGACTCTAGAGGGGCAAAGGTAAAAGAAGGGAGAAGAAGCCTATAATAGTCCAAATATGAAATGGTGTTTGCTTAGCCTATGTTTTAGAGTTGGAGATAATCAAAAAATGTTTGCTTTGAGCCATGTTAAATATGAGGTGCCCAAAAGACATTTAAGTCAGGATATCAACCAGTCAATGGTGTATGTAAGTTTGGCATTCAGGGGAGAGATTGCAGCAGGAGCTATAAATTTGTGAATCATTGACATACATCATGGAATGAGAACATTTTGAAAAGGAATATAGATAAAGAAATGAAGCTCTCTGAGGACTAGTTCCAAAATGTAAAGTTTAGAAAGAGGAAGATTCCACTGAAAGAGACTGAGAAAGTATATCCAGAGAAATAGGAATCAAGACAAAATGGTTTTAAAAATCTTCAGAAAGGGAATAAGCAATAATTGGTAATATTTATTGAACGCTTAATGTGTGTGTTCTAAGCAACTTACAAGTACTTAATCTTCACAACAACCCTACAAAGTATATAACATTATAATTTTGTTTTACAGATAGGGAAACTGAGGTCAAGGGAGATTAACTTGTACAAGGTCACATAGCTAATGAAGTCACAGATCCTGGTTTCAAATTCATTTTGGGTAAAGACAATATGATCTTAACCATTATGTTTTATAAGAAGCTATTAACTGGTTGAGTACAGTGAGGACTGAGAATGGACCTTTCAGTTTGGCAGTATGCAATGTTCTTTGTTAACTATAAGAGAAGTTTTGGTGGAATGCTGGAATGAAATGTATTTATTATAAATTCATTCTTTCATAAATTCATGATGAAAGAGAATTTCTGTTTCCAGTTAATGGTGAGCTAGGGAATTGGACCAACCCTACACCACAACTAAAAATGTTAGATGAATTATAAAAAGGATCTACTAAGAGCATTAGCAAACTAACAAAAATTATTGCCAGTTTGGCTCTATCTCAGGAATGCAAAGTTGTTATAACATTAGAAAATCAATTTATATAATTTACCACATTAACTTATTCAAAAAGAAAAATCGTAAGGTCTTCTTCATAGATACAGAAAAAGCATTTGATAAAATTTAATATTAATTCATGGATTTTTTTTTCCCAAAATACCTCTTAGCAAACTAGAAATAGAATTTCCTTAATTTGTGAAGGTATTTTCCTACAGCAAACATTATTCTTAATGGCAAAAAAATAATGTTAATAACATTCCTTTGAAGATTGAGAAGATGACAAGGAAGTCCACTCTTATTACTTCTATTAATCTTTGTACTGAACTCCTAATAAGTGCACTATGCAAGAAAAAAATAAAGCATTAACAAACTGGAAAAGAAAAAGAAAACAGTCATCCTTAAGAGACAACATGGTTGAATATGTAAAAATTCCTAAATAATTGGTAGACAAATTATTAGGCAAATATATAAAAACCAATTGTATATCTATATACCAGCAACAAACATCTCGAAAATTATACTTTAAAAATAGTAACATTTATAATTGCATCAAAAAACATCAAATACCTAGAAATAAATCTAACAAACAATATGTAAGGCTTCTCTTTGAAAATTGTAAATAATATTAAGAATGATTAAGAAAGCGTAAGTAAATAGAGGGATAGACCATGTTAATTGATTGGAATACTGTTATAATTATATCATTATCTACACCATCTATCTATAGATTAGTGTCATATTCCAGTCAGAATCCTAGCACATGGAGCAATATCTGAATTATATTAAGTAAAAAAGCAAGTATGTTAAATATTCCACCCTTTATCTAAGAGTGGGGAGTATGCATGCACCCGTGTGTGTGTTTGTATGTATATACATATATAAACAAACACATTATATATATATGTGAACACATTTCTAGTTTTAAAAATGAAGAGGTGAGCCAAAAAATAATTAAATTGGTAATCTATGAGAGGAGAGAGGGGATAGACTTTTTTAAATGACCTTTGTTTTGTAGATTTATAAGCTTAACTTTGGAATAATCTTAATGTTTATATCACTATTTTGCAAATTAAATCAAAATTTTAAAAAGAATACCTAAGAATCAAAAGTAAAATTAAATAAATTAACTTAATTATTTAGGAAGTTGACTACACAGATGAATTATTTCAAGTGATATTAAACATAGCAATTAGATTCTATATCCCTAAGGGGATAAATCTTAAGAATGAAAGGAAGTGCAAAATATCATAAACTGTTTATAGTAGTCGTATTGTTAGAAATAATATTGGTGGTGGTATTCTGAAACTCATAGGATAAAGCAGTTTAGTAATTATATAAATGTCTTTAAGAACCAAAATTTTCATCATAAAAGAAAAGAAACTCAAATTGAATAAACTTGTAATTCTAAATAGGAATTGGAAATATGAGTATATGAAGTCAAGATGTGTTTTACTCTTTAAAAAATGTGTATTTCCCAGCTCAGTCCTTTCAGTGGACAGTAAAAACATGACTCCATATTCAGTTGCAATGAGGTTTCCCAAAAGAAACCAGGGCTTCTTAGAGCTGAGTGATTTGGAAAAGGAAAGTATAAGATGAGACTAGAAAACACTTCATCGTAGCAACTGAGGTCATGTAATAAATACAAAAGGACCCACAGGCCGATTTGAGAAGGCCCCCACTGGCCCATGTGGGGGCAATTTGAACATCAAAAAGAATATCTGCAGTAAATTGAAACATTTCAAATATATTTTAAACATCCATAACTTCAAAATGGTATTAAATAAAGAAAAAAGTCTTTGGTCACCTTTGGAAGGTGATATGGAACCAATTCATTCTGAAAAAATATGAATAAAGGGAAAAAATAAGCATTTATTCTACCTTTACTTGCTATACTTTATCAATTGCCATTTGATCTTTCACACCATAAGAGCCCTTGCTTCACTGATTAGAGAACCAGTATGGGGATTTTGCCTGTTGCTCAGTATGTCTATACCAATTATGTATCTCAGAACCAGGGAAATAACCACAGGGTAAGATTATGGACATGCTTAGCCCACTGTGAAACTGCCCAAGCCAAAACTCCATTAATGGCCTGTCCTAAAAGAATCTCTTCTCTGGTTGGTGAACCACAGTGCAATTTCTGGGGTCTCCAGAAATTTGTCAGTTCAACAACAATGTCTAGTAATCCTGAAAATGTCTGGATTTCCTCTTCCCCATTGCATAGTCACCCTGCCAACTCTTCACAGGTCTTTTGTTAGGTGAAGGCCAGGAGGAAGTATATATGGGTGTATAACAGGGTTCTTCTTCAAAGGGACCTGCTTCCAGCCCACCTTCCTTCATTCAAGGGTCCAAACGTGAGAGCTGGTCGAAGGATCGTAACTCTCGTAGTGATTCAAATCAGACTGCAACTCACAAGAGCTAGAGCTTTTCTACTTCAGTAAATCAAGTAAGACTTTAGTAGGCTGCCCATCTGTTTCAGTTTGAAAAACACAGTGATCAAACTAGCAAAACCCAAAGACCTCTGCAGATAAGACTGATTACTGCTTTAATTCTACTACCCATTTCAGTAACCATGCCCACATTGTCTTTGAAATTTAATGCCACTACCTTGCCATTGCCATTGAGAATTCTATCACTTTCACTGAATTCAGGGATCCCAGTTCCATGGAAGCAGGTCCCACTGTTGTTTCTGTCCCACAGAGAATAGCCACCACAGAGCTCTCTGGGCTCGCAGTCTTGGTGAAGAGAATGTCCTCTGGATGCTTCTGAGGGACAGAGTTGAAGGATTGTTGAGCTGGTTTTATATTTTAAAAATCCGCTCTAACCTTCTGATCTCCCTAATCCTTTGGTAACTTCCTTTATACCAGAAGTTCTCAAATGGGGATGATTTTGCTCTCTTCTCCCGTCTACTACCCCCAAATATTTGTCTCAATATCTGGAGACATTAAGAAATGCTCCTAGCATCTTGTATATAGAGACTGGGCATGGTGTCAAACATCCTACAATGCACGGGACAGCCTCCCACTACAAAACATTTTCTAGCCCAAAATGTCAGTAGTGCCAAGGCTGGGAAACTCTGCTCTACATTATACAAAGAAACTTATGACATTTCAGTATAGGTCACGTTTAAGTACAAATTTCATTCATCTAACTAAGCAAACTTGAGATACTCAAGCTAACACAGTGATTCCAGAATATCTATTTTGTGAGCCCATATTGATAAATTTGGGCCAATCCAACATTTTATTCTTTCGACTATAATCTAGCACCCATAGGATCCATTCTCACATACACTCCCAAGGTTTCTCTCCATATATAAAATTGGCAAAATCATATAATTATTTTGGTGTATTCTCCCTCCTCACAGATCATGTCTTGTAGTTCATCCTCTAGAGCAAGATAGACTTGAGTCTGGCTGTAGGTTTAGAAGCAGTGAGTGAGGGTAGGGTAAATCCTAAGGAGAACCACCTATGCCTTGCAAGGCAATGTCCTCCCATTACAAATTCTTCAGGTAAGGAAGACTTACCTTCCCAAATAGGGTGGAAGGACTGTTTCTACTGGCAAAGAAAGCATAGCAGAATTTAAGGATTCAAGGCCCCAGCTTCATTCTAGCCACCTTGTTGTACAGTAGATCTTGAACTTATTCCTACTATCTAACTCAAATTTTATATCCTATGACCAACATCTCTCCACCCATCACTCACTCCCCCAAGCTGTGGTAACTACCATTCTTCCCTCTATCTCTATGAGTTCGACCTTTTTAGATTCCACATATAAGTGAGATCATATGGTGTATTTGTCTTTGTGTGCCTGGCTTATTTCACTTAGTATACTGTCTTCCAGTTTCATCCATGTTGTCACAAATTGTAGAATTTCCTACTTTTCAAAGGCTGAATAATATTCCATTTTGTACATATACCACATTATCTTTATCCATCCATTCATTGATGGACACTTAAGTTGATTTCGTATCTTGGCTATTGTGAATAATGTTGCAGTAAACATGGGAGTGCAGATATCTCTTTGACATATTGACTTCATTTCCTTTAGATGTATACCCAGAAGTAGTATTGCTGGATCATATGGTAGTTCTATTTTTAATTTTTGGAAGGCCCTTCATACTGCTTTCCATAATGGCTGTACTAAGTTACTTCTCAATAGTGTATAGGGTTCCTTTTTCTCCACATCCTGGCCAACACTTGTTATCTTTTGTCTTTTTGATAATAGCCATTCCAACAGGTGTGAGATGATAGCTCATTAATTAGCATTTTCCTAATTATTAGTAAAATTGAGCATTTTTCATATACCTGTTGGCCATTCATATGTCTTCTTTTGAGGTATGTCTATTCAGATCCTTTGCCCATTTTTTAATTAGATTACTTGTCTTCTTACTGTTGAATTGTTTAAATTCCTCATATATTTTACGTATTAATCCTTTATCAGATATGTGGTTTGCAAATATTTTCATCCATTCCATGTGTTGTCTTTCTTTACTCTGTTCTTTCCTTTGCTGGGCAAAAACTTTTTAGTTTGATATAATCCCATTTGTCTATATTTGCTTTTCTTGCCTCTTCTTTTGGGCATCTATCTAAAAAATCATTGCCCAGACCATTGTCATGGAACTCTTCCCCTGTGTTTTAGTCTAGTAGTTTTACAATTCTAGGTCTTATGTTTAAGTCTTTCATCCATTTTGAGTTGATTTTTGTTCCATCACCATCTATTGAACAGACTGTCCTTTCCCCATTGTGTGT